TGCAGGGACTGGGATTCAGAGGGAGAAGTTAGAAAGGATTTGTTTGTTTGTTTGTTTGTTTGTTTCCACACAGTCTTGACTGATGGCCCCCTGAGAAGTATGAAAATTAGAAACGAATTTTGTCTGGCTGGGCCTGGGACTTAGGCTATTTGCCCCACGGCTCTGGAAGAACTGGAACCAGTAAGGGAAATCAAAAGGCTCTTGCATCCACATTTTTTTTTGGCTCCCATTCTCTGTCCTTCTATCACTGTCTTTTTGGTCAGTGATTGCTAGATGTGGTATGCCACTCTTACTCTCATGTAATTGTTGCTACTAGCTTACCTTCTCATTTCCTTCCGTTGTTGCCCTTATCAGAACAAAAATCCTTTATTCTTTATTACTTCATTGTTGAGTGTGTAGCACCACACTAACCCGATTAAAAGGAAAAACTGGAACAAATTATTCATTCCCAAACTGCCTTCTCCTTACAATTAGAGGATGGAAATAAAAGCCAGAGCTGCATCATCCATGTACTGATCTGTTTATAATCATCACAAAGTTATATAGGAATCCCCAAAATAGAATTATATTGCTGTTCTAAATCAAAAATCACTTAAATATTTCTGTCAATACTTGCTGTCAATATGTTTTTATTACTGTTTCCAGTTAGTTTCATTTAATGCAGGATGATGAAAGCTATTGTAAAATAATGAATGTTCTTTCAGTGAAATAATAAAGACTCTAATGAATTTCACCCTTCTAAATGTTTATGCTTTTCTTCACAATTTCTTGACTGGACAATCATTCCTTCACATTAATTGCAGTCATTTTTATATCTATATAATACCATTTTTATATCTCTAATGCTAGTTACATATTTATGCATTCTAAAAAGTGTGAATAGTCTGAAAGTTTGACTATAAAAGTATTTAATAACCAGGTTCTGCCAATAGAAGTACAGGTAGTCCTCACTTAATGACCATTCGTTCAGTGATCATTCAAAGTTATGACAGTGCTGAATGAATGGTAGTTATGGTCGGTCCTTGAAGTTATGGCCATGGTCATGTGGTCAAAATTTGGTCACATTTAGAACTGCAGCATGTGCTTCAACTACCCCCACCTGCCTATCTCCACCCTCATCTCTGCTGTTTTGGCTGCCCTGCACTACATTGCCCCTGCTGCCCCTAGCTGACCTTCATTGTCTTCTCTCCCCTACTGTTGACAAGGGGTGCCTGGACGAGGCAGGAGAAGCAGGAGGTCCTTGCCTAACTACGGTGTGGTCCTCACCTAATGACCACAACTGGGACTACCAGAACTGCTGTCGCCAAGCAGTGTGGTCACATTTCGCCTTAGCAACGGAAATTCTGGTCCCAGTTAGGGTCATTAAGTGAAGAGTACCAGTACAGCCTATGGTTTTTAGAGGGTGTTATTTTCACGTGGAACAAAATTCCTATTCAAATGTGCAGCAGATTGTGGAAAACCACTGTAAGTGAAGGGATAGAATCAGACTTGGATTCCCAACCTGAATTTCACTAAGGTATAATATATAATTAATGAATAGTTGGTCAAGTAAGATGCATATAAGTTTGCAATTTTTACCAAGCTTCTCTTTTGAATGAAGAAGCCAGCATAGTGAGTGAATACTTTGTTCTGGGAAAATGAGGCAATTTTCTTTCTTCAGCTTTCAGAGGACGTAATAGGACATCCCAAGTGCCTTAATTCACTTTCCTTAATTCATTTTGGATCAAGCCAAATTTAATTTTAATCTGACATTGCAGTCCCACAGTGACCAGAAGCCTCTGGAAAGCTCACAAATAGGAGACGGGCATACAGTCCCTTTTCTACGTGTGTCCCATAGTAATTGGTATTGAAAGGTACATTGTCCTGATATTAGAGGCAATACATATTTGTTATGTATAGTAGTGATTGACAGCCTTATCCTTCAGGAAACAGTATGACCCACAATTTGTGGAAGCAGTTTCCATAGTTTAGGTACCTTAAGTATGAGTTGTGTCCACCTCTCATTAGAGCAGTGGCGGCAGCAGTAGCAGTACTAATTTTATTTGTTGAGTGTTTATGATTTATTGCAGGATACAGTGTGCACTGTAATAAGTGCTACATTTATCCTCTTATTCTTAACCAATATCTGATGAGTGATATCACCACTGTACTTCAGGGAGAGATTCTACCTTGGTTGGTAGCAAAGCATGAGTTTTATATGTAAAAGATTCCTAGTTCCTCCTAAAGCTGGGAGATTCCTCTAGTTAAGGATCCGGGAAACTGTAGCTAAGTAATGATAGGCCAAATTGCTCCTATTTATTATATATCAGTTGTCTATATCCCTGTCTTGCTTCAGGAGGGTAGAGAGCTAGAGCTGCCTGAGGCAATCTGCTCTATAGAGAAGAGACTCCTAATCCTTTAAAGCATCATAAATGCTCTGAAAGCACTGGGGTATGGAAAGTTTTGAGTGGTTGCTTGAATATTGATTTGGAGTTTCTTGGACTAGCAAGAAGTCTCTCTGCTCATTATTCTGGAATCAAGAAAACATAGAGATGATATTCTGCAGATCAAGTCATGCATCTTTCTAGCTTCCTAGGTTTCTAGGAAAAAAATCTGTTTTCATTTAATAAAAAGTTGGTAAC